ACACACACACACACACACACACACACACACACACACACTATGAAAACAGCACCCTCAACATAAGGCCCTTCCAAACGCACTCAAGTTTAGTTTCTTCTCTCTACAGTGCAATAGGAACCCTTGTCGCATTATCTGACAGTCCCTAGTGTGCCTCAGTTTGGTTTTTTTATTTCCTTTTTCATGTATGTCTAAGTGGTATACATGTGTATATGCATGTTTTTGCATGTGTTGGCACACATGTGAGTAGGTGCACATGTACATGCGTGTGCATGCATGTGGAAGCCTGAGACTGATGTCAGGATCATCTTCCACTTTATCCATTGAGGCAGGGTCTCTCAATCAAACCCAGACCTCACTGATACGGTTACAGTTAGTCTCACTGGCTGCTGTGCTCTGGGATTTCTTGTCTCCACCTTCTGAAGCCGAAACTACAAAAGGGCTGCCACGTCCATGCAGCATTTATGTGGGTTTCTGGGGATCCAAACTCCAGACCTTGTGCTCTAACCCCTGAGCAGCCACCTCCACCTGTTAAGTTTCTGAATCTTCATTTCATAGTTAGGTGTCCGGGGCATGCCGGCCTCAATCAGGTGTCACTGGTGTACCGGATGCACGCATCGTTAGATACTGGCTAGTCATCCAACTTACTTCTAGTCGTCCAACTTACTTCTAGTCGTCCAACTTACTTCTAGTCGTCCAACTTACTTCTAGTCGTCCAACTTACTTCTAGTCGTCCAACTTACTTCTAGTCGTCCAACTTACTTCTAGTCGTCCAACTTACTTCTAGTCGTCCAACTTACTTCTAGTCGTCCAACTTACTTCTAGTCGTCCAACTTACTTCTAGTCGTCCAACTTACTTCTAGTCGTCCAACTTACTTCTAGTCGTCCAACTTACTTCTAGTCGTCCAACTTACTTCTAGTCGTCCAACTTACTTCTAGTCGTCCAACTTACTTCTTGGGAAGCTTCATCTTCTTCACCTTCTCTTCAGCATGTTCATCACAGATACCCACATGACAGCCCAAGGCCGACAAAGTCCTAGAAAACACAAGCAGAACTGAGCTCGCAAGAACTGCTTCCCTGTGACCAACGCCAGCCTGCCCAAGAGCACGGAAAGGGACCTTACCGCGACCTTTAAAACAGAGAACAAGTTTTTGTTTTTCAAAGCAAAAAGGAAACATTTATCTATAGACTATTTTTGAATAAAGGGAATGATAATAAATGTTCAAAGGAGACCTCGACATTACACTTTGTGAAGGTGGTGACTGTGAGTTTGTGCTGAGGGACACAGTCACGTGTGTGTTGACATCAAATGTGGTCTGAGTCCTAGAAAATTCAATTGGTAGATTTCATCTTCTTATAGGCTTTCTTATTTTTAAACATTTTATTTTTATTTTTAATTATGTGTGTATACAGTGCCTTTGGAGGCCAGAAGAAGGCATCAGATCCCCTGGAGCTGGAGTTACAGGTGGTTATGAACATGGGTGATGGGAACCAAAGTTGGGTCCTCTGTAAGAGCAGTATGTGTTCTTAACTGCTGAGCCATCTCTCCAGCCCCTCTTAGGGGCATTTAAAAGAGAGTCAGAGGCTTCTAAAAACTGTCCTGTGACCCTCTCAGTACAAGTTCATAGAACTTTTTTGATCTTCTTCCCAGTGAAAATGATCTAGAGAAGGTTGGCTTTATCTCATGCAGAGAGTGGACATCAGAGGCCAAGCTTGAACAAAGACAGGAGGCTATGAGTGTTCACCATTGTGTGTTAACTGCTGTGGATAAGTACAGAATGTCAGCAGTGTTCAGAGTGTGAAGGGCAGAAATATAGTGAGAATTATAGTAAAACCAAATAAAGTTCAAATTTAGGGAAAATTACATAATTTTAGGAATAGCTCGGAAATATAGCCCAAAAAGAATAACTACTATCTCACTACAGAGGATGGTAGTTAGATGTGAAGGGAGACAGTCCAGGATGCAGTCAGTCTACAGAAGCCAAGGTCTGCAGGTGCATGCGTGGAGAGACACGTTGCCTGGAGAAGGCAGCCTATGCTTTGTAGGCTCCAGGTAAAAGAAACCCTGGGGAAAGCCTGAGGTCTAGTCTAGCCTCAGTATACATCTCTCTTTTATTAAGTGTGACTGGTTGGTTTTATGTGTTAACTTGAGTGTCACCATAATGAGTTATTTAAAACACTATCCTGGGTCATTCCATGAAGATACTTTTGGTTGAGATGGACACTTAAATGGATGAACTTTGGGTCATGTGAAGTCCAAAGACAACAAACAGACTGACCTTGCTCAAGCAAGGGAATTCTTCAATAGGACAGCCACTGACTTAGACACCTGCTGTTTCTGTGGGGCTTCCCCCTTACCACCCACTGCCCCCCCCATGTGTCCCAAGAACTTGGTGCGCTTAATATTGTAAATGTGGGGCAGTATGGCTTTTTCCTTCCAATTTGATTTTTAAATAAGCAGGTGAAATCTGTTCATTGTAAGACCTTGTAAGTGTATATTACTGAGCTTTGGAAACAAGGAAATGTTCAGAATCAGTTCGTGAACAGCGTGATTAGCATTCACCACAGGGCATAGCAGCCCAGCCCAGGCATCTGTTGATTCCTCAAACCAGCCACCAGGAGCTTCTAGGAGTGATTGGATTCCACGCAGCAGTCCAGGGTTTAGCATACTGCATGCAAATCTGGAGGTTTCTGCCCTGGTCTAGCTGTCAGCTGCTAAAGTGAAATGAATGGATTACAATTTTAACTAAATTATCTTGTAAAACAGGGAAATAACGTGTGGCCATGAATTACGGAACTGGAAGTATGGAAGTTGTGCTGTGACACAGAGGAATTCTTGAACATGAGAGCTGGTCCTGGTGACAGGGAATGCAGTCCTACAGCAGCAAGCCTGGTGGCTGGCTGGCTGCCTCTAACAGGTTCTTACTTGCATATACTTCTTGCAAGTGACTATTAGACATTTTGCTCACTCTGCCTAGTGTGCCTATTTCCATGACAACTAGTCTGCATCTGTGAGGACGTCGCATGCACCCAAGCCCAAATCCTAGAACAGAAGTGCCATTTAGGTTTATGTGCTGGGTCTCTGGTAAAGTTGTTTCAATATGATTTCTTTCTTGTTCTTAACAGGAAATAAAAAGGGACGAATACAAAACCATTCTAAGGTAAAGGACTCATTTGATCAAAACTATTTCTAAAAGACACAAAGGATGTATGGGGGGTGGGTTAACTACAAGGAATGGAGCTGTGGCTCAGCTCTTAAGAGCTCTTGTTGATCTTCTAGACACGAGATGGATTCCCAGCACCTATATTGGGAGGCTTGTAACCACCTGTAACTCTAGCTCCGGGGGAAATGATGTCCTCTTCTGGCATCTGTGGTAACTGTGCTTACATTCACAAACTGACACAGACACAGACACACACAGACACACACACACACACATGCACGCACGCACGCACGCACACATAAATTAATAAAAATCTAAAAAGAAGTTACAGAATTTTCAAAACCATTTTTAACATTTTAAGATGAGAAATGGAAAATATATTCCTTTATTTATTCTACCTTAGCCACACTGTTTCAACCTCAAAAGGAAGAAAGCATTTCCCCACACTCCACTGGCAAGGTAAGAAAAATACGGTTTCCCTGGGGCTGGGGAGGTGGCTCACTGAGTCAAGGGTTTGTTGTGCGAGCAGGAGGCCCTGAGCTGAATCTCCAAAGCCCACACTAAAAAGGCCAGTG